CTGAGCAGAGACTGGTGGACAGCATCCCTGAGAAAAGAGAAACCACGTTTAGGGAAAGCGGGGAGAGACTGAGCTGAGGTGTGGGAGATGAGGCCGGGTCCACACGTGGGTTTTACAGACACACGGACCACTGGGAGTGCGGTGAAGACTGTTCCGGTTATCTGTTTCTATAAAAAACTACCCCAAAACATCGCAGCTTAACAGTAACCATTTTTCTCACTTCCCGTCTGGCTTAGCTGGGGGTTACCACTCGCAGTCTCGCCTGAATCGTTCATAGGTCTGGCGGGGCTCACGGCCAAGCGGACTCACCTGGCTGCCCCAGATGCTGCTGTGCGCTGGGCATTCAGCCTGGGCTGCTGACCGGAGCACGTGCACAGGCCACAGCATAGAGACTGCCCCTGAGAGGGCTGCCCCTGGAGGCAGGGTGCCAGACGCCCAGGGAGGACCTGCAAGGCTACTTAGGACCTTGTCTAGCTCCCAGCAGAGTCTCTGCGGCTGTATTGTAGTTGGGGGATGTCACAGAGAGAGCCCGGGTTCCAGGGAGGGGGCTGGGGCGAGGTCACTAGCAGAAGAGCATGTGAGAGGGAAGCTATGGTGGTGGCCATCTTTGGAAAATGCAACCTGCCACAATCGGTCTCTGAAAATCCCTCAGAAATGACTCTTTTGTGACTGACACCTGGCACCCCATGCAGGCTCGCTCAGGGTCTGTCCACGGCACCTGGAGTTCAGCCGAGACTCGAAGGCAATGCCGAGGTGCTGACATGGATGAAGGTGTGAAGGCCTCTCTGATGTCTAAACAATCCAGCGGATATTAGAAGCTTCTGTAACTTTCAAAGTTTTATATTTATTTCAACTTTTGAAAAGTTCCAAGCTCCACTTATTATCAAAGTATTTTTAAAACAAGCCAACAGACATCAAATAAATAAAGCTGAAAGCAAATTTTGATTAGTACACAAGACTTACCTGTAGCATAAACTTATTACCAGTACTTCTCATATTCCATATCTTCACAACTTCTATCATATTTAAATTAAGAGGCAGGTGATTTAGAGCATTATGAAGAGTAACTCAGGTGTGTGGGTGTGTAGCTGTAATCTGGGCTATCATTAATGGTAATTAGGCCCATTGTGTGTTTTTCTATAGAAATTAAAACTGGTTGTGTTTTCTAAATCCATTTCCCTTCAGACTGACATGAGAGTCTACAAAGCAAAGCAAACACTTTTTGTATTTCAAAGAGTAAATAATTGTGATACACACACACACACACACACACACACACACAGGGTGGGGCAAAGTAGATTTACAATTGTAAGTATGCAAAACATAGACCTATTCTTGTATTATTATGTATTGATTTTGCATATGAACAACTGTAAACTGACATTTGCCCCACCCTGTATATATCCTCCAAGTGAAGTTGCTTCACTTTAAACATTGAACTTCACAACTGTTCAAGATCATCTGTTTTTGTAAATGGATTAAAATGTAAAAACATTACATCTCCCCCCCCCCACACACACTATTATATTATAAAATTGTATCGTTTATATACCTGAAGTTATTTTTTCTCATTATTCTTTCAACAAGTACATTAAGCACCTTCCATGCAGCATCGCTGTGCTGGGTTTGAGGTCACATGAATGAGGCAAATCAGTCCCCCTTGTGGAGGCCACATTCCCAGGGCAGACCTAGCAAATCAAACCTGGCACACCTCCCTGTGCCCTGCTGCGTTGGTGATGGGGCTCTGCAGGGGGAGCAGAGAGGACAACCAGGGCCAAAGGCAGGGACTTGGCGCCCTCTGGGGGTCAGGGAAGGCCCTGAGCAAGAGCCATCTGAGCAAATTTCAAGATTTCATTCCTGGGAGGGTGAAACGGAGGTAGTTTCTCTTTGCTGCATAGTTTCCATTTCAATGAACTTTCATTATCTCCATAAGGTAAGCGATTCAGAAGCATATCATTGAACGGTTAAAGAGTTGGTGAATAAGGAGGAACACTGTTCTTAGCCAATGGGTGGTACCGGTTCCAGAACTAGGAGCACTTCGGCAGGAACAGCGTGAGTTTACAGCAGTGGTTCTCAACCTTCCTAATGCTGCGACCCTTTAATACAGTTCCTCATGTTGGGATGACCCCCAATTTCATTGTTACAAATTGAACATAATTAAAGCATAGTGATTAATCACAAAAACAATATGTAATTATATATGTGTTTTCCGATGGTCTTAGGTGACCCCTGTGAAAGGGTCGTTTGACCCTCAAAGGGGTCGCAACCCACAGGTTGAGAATCGCTGGTTTAGCGTTTTAGCGATGTTAAATTTGTGATGTCTGCAAGACACCCTATGGTGTCTGGCCTTCTCTCACACTTATTTTGCTTTTGTCTTTACTTTACTTTCACAGCTGGACTTAACAGTGATGGCGAACCTTTTGAGCTCAGCGTGTCAGCATTTTGAAAAACCCTAACTTAACTCTGGTGCCGTGTCACATATAGAAATTTTTTGATATTTGCAACCATAGTAAAACAAAGACTTATATTTTTGATATTTATTCTATATATTTAAATGCCATTTAACAAAGAAAAATCAACCAAAAAAATGAGTTCGCATGTCACCTCTGACACGCGTGTCATAGGTTCGCCATCACTGCCCTAGTGAGTTGGGTAATGCCCCCTGACTCTGACCAGGAATGACTCTCAGAACAGAATGTGTATTAGATGCAGAAGCAATGGAGATAACAAGATTCTGATGGCCACCTCGGGTGCTGATGAAGGCATCAACATTGTCCAGAGTAAGGCGATCATCCTGTATGAGGCTGTGGGCAAGGTCATCACAATGGTCCAAACTGTAGGTGAGAGTTTTGATGCCATTCTTCAATGGCTGCCAATTTGTCTGATTTGTGAGTGTCTGTCATTCTGGCCTTTCTCCTTTACTGAGACATAGCTGGGTGTGTGACCAACGGCACAGAGGGCTCTGTGTCATTGGCCCTACAGGTGGCTTACTTGGTCCGGATTGGGTGGCTACTAACATATTTGTCCACTAACATATACCCCATTTGAGTTCTGTGTACCTTAACCAACATTGACTGACATATTTATGGGGGGCGGTAATTCCCACTGGATCGAGGTTTGGGTAGTCAACGGGTGAACCTTTCCCGCTTGTGCTTATGGTACTGCTGGGCCCCTGTATTCCAGAAGGGAAACTCCAAGGAGCTCTTCTGTCCCACTTGAACTACTAGACCAGTGGTCGGCAAACTCATTAGTCAACAGAGCCAAATATCAACAGTACAACAATTGAAATTTTTTTTGAGAGTCAAATTTTTTAAACTTAAACTATATAGGTAGGTACATTGTTATTAACTTAATTAGGCTATTCCTAAGGCTTAGGAAGAGCCACACTCAAGGGGCCAAAGAGCCGCATGTGGCTCGCGAGCCGGTTTGCCGACCACTGTACTAGACAGTCTCCTAACCAGTCTCTCTGCCTTCTTCCAATTGCCATAGCAACAGCTGCCACATTACTTTTCCTGGGAAGCAGCTCTGAGCATGTCACTTCCCTGTGTAGAAACTCCAGTGGTTCCCCAATTTTCTTTCTTTTTTTTTTAAAAAAAATATTTTTATTGATTTCAGAGAAGAAAAGAGAGAGGGAGATAGAAACATCAATGATGAGAGAGAATCATTGAATCGGCTGCCTCCTGCACACCCCACACTGAGGTTTGAGCCCTGACCAGGAATCAAACCATAACCTCTTGGTTCATAGGTCAACACTCAACCACTGAGCCATGCTGGCCAGGTCCCTAATTTTCTTGATGTTAAAGAGTTTTCATATCCAGCACCCACTTCTTTTTCCAACCTTATTTCCCGTTCTTCCCCTTTGTTCATTATTCACTTCAGCCAACCTGACGTCACGATTTGTTCCTGTCGGGGGAGTTGCTCATGGGCTGCAACTGATGATCTGTTTCCCCTCTTCTGCTGTCTCCATACACCTGCCCTGAATTCCCCCAGCTGGCAGCGGTCCCTTTGAATGCCCATAACGCTTTGTAGCTCTCTTCCTTATAGCACTTCTCATTTCCGCCTACATTCTGGTGTAAATATCCCTCACTTTCCATTTCCTAGAGAGCTCTTGATCTGTTTAAATCCCTCCAAGTGGCATCCTGAGGTTCATGTTGGATTGTCTCCTGTGTTGAGTGTCTGCCCCCTGGTGGTCAGTGCCCATCATAGCGACCAGTCGTTCAGCCGTTTAGTCAATTTTCATATTACCCTTTTATTATATAGGGTAATATAACTGTCAGAATCTCACCATAAGTAACAGGTGGAATATGAGCATGGTTGGTATCTGTTACCTTATTTCCCTGAGGGTTGCATTAGAACAGTACATTTATGCTTAAAATTTTGTCCTGCAGTGAACTTCAAATTCATTCTGCTTTAAGTCTTGGTGAGATTAAAATATAACTTATCAGTGCTAATACCTGGAGTTATGTTTTCAGATCTAAAAGGCAAAGTGAGCTAGAATTGCTCTTTAGTTAGTTAGGTCATCGTGTGGACAACACCCTTCGTCTTTCTCTCAGATCTCTCTCTCTCTCTCTGACATCCGGAGTCCTCCGAGAAAAGCTCCCATTGTGCTGTGCAGGTGTTGGGATGGGTAATAACGTAGAGTTTGGAGAGGCACACCTGTTCAGTGCAGCCTCCTGGTAGTGACCTTCATTTTATTGTAATTTTCTTTGTAACACAGAAGCATGGAACCAGATTGGGGAAAGTCAAGGCACACACCTGCAGGCACACGTGCACACCCACACACTTTCTCCAGGTCCTTTGCAGAGATCTTCACCTCAGCATCTCTGTGAGCACTGAGCACTGCAGAGCTGGGGAGAGCTTTACCACGGGAATCAGTGGTTCCAATACCAGTTCTGCCACATATGGTACAAGATGTGTGACCTCAGATAGTTACTCTGTCTTCTAAATGATCAGTCTCCCCATTTGCAAAGTTGGGACAATATTGGTATTTAACTCGCAGGGAAGTTTGGGGGATAAAATGAGATGTATGAAACAAGTGCTCAGAAAATGAGAGCTGATATTGGACAGAGGTGTGAGGAATATTTTAACTCAAAAAGATGAACCTTACAATTCAGTGGACCAACAAATTATCTCTTACTTTAGGTCAGAATCACATTACATCAGTGTTGACTCATTTTAAAAAACATTACTTCCTCAAGTTTGGAGACCAAGATATTTCAAAACACCTATTCCACATTTTCAGTGAGAAGAAATTCTTTAGCACTTTTTAATTCTCCTCCTCAATTTTACTGATAGAAGTTTTTTAGTGAGCACCTTCCCATTTTTCTCTCTTGGTACTGTTTTATGTTTTCCCAACGTTCTTTTTGGGCTATGGGTCAGTTTTACAATGAAAACAAAATATTTCCTTAGTTTAAAAAGAAAATATCCTCACGTTAGTCTCCTATATATATTTTTTCATAAAACCTTTTAGATAAAAGGTTTGAAAAATCTCCAAAGACAGTAATTGGATGTAACTTTGTTACTGCTGATGGAGGGGAGGGTGGAGTGCCTGGGCTGGTTCAGATGATGACAGAACTTTAGAGTTCTCTTTGGTTTTCAGAAAGCTGACGTCTCTAATCAGCCCAACTGTTTGACCAGGAAGCATATTAGGGGGAATACTGCTAAGGTACCAGACCTTCCTAAGTCTGCTCCTTTAGCTGTAATAGGTCCTTTTAGCTCCAATTTGGGTGATTTTTCTGCTGAAAATGGCCCTTTTAGACTATGTTTGCCCTGTTATAGACTGAATGTTTGTGTACCTCCAAATTTCATATGTGGAAGCTCTTACCCCACAGTGTGCCTCTGTGGAGATGGGAGCTCAAAGGAAGGTTTAATTAAGGTTCAATGACATTGTAAGGGTGGGGCCCTAATCTGATAAGATTAGTGCCCTTATAAGAAGAGACACCTGCCGAAACCGGTTTGGCTCAGTGGATGGAGCGTCGGCCTGCGGACTGAAAGGTCCCGGGTTCGATTCCGGTCAAGGGCATGTATCTGGGTTGCGGGCACATCCCCATTGGGAGATGTGCAGGAGGCAGCTGATCGATGTTTCTCTCTCATCGATGTTTCTAGCTCTCTATCTCTGTCCCTTCCTCTCTGTAAAAAATCAATAAAATATATTAAAAAAAAAAAAAAAAAAAGAAGAGACACCAGAGAGCTAGTTCTTTCTCTCTCTGTGCCTGCTCTGATGAAGGCCATGGGAGCACACAGCAGAAGGTGGCTGTCTGTGAGCCAGGAAAGAAAGAGCACTTTACCAGAAAAATGAATTGGCTGGAACCTTGATCTTGGGCTTCTAGCCTCCAGAACTATAAGAAAAGAAGTTTCTGATGTTTGAGCCACTTCAGTCTATATTTTATTGTTGCTGCTGGCACAGAATAGGAGACATGTGCCCTGAAACAACTTCAGACATGAAAATGAGCAGATAAAACTAGAGGACACGAAAATCAAAGCTGTGACCTGCTCACTACCCTGCCTGCTACTGCTTGTCTGCTCCCAAACAGGGCAGAGAACACGCTGGTTCCTCAGCCCCTCCAGGTTACCTGCAGGTCACTGCCGCGGCTGTACGAACAGGAGAACCTGAAGGTCAGCCAGGCTTTGGGAAGCTAACACCTGAGATCCGCTCTGTTCTAAACAGCCCCAAACTATAGCCACGCACACAGCAGGATTCAATTCCAAAGTCAAAAGGTTTTCCTTGAAAATAGATTTAATTTTATTCAAATTAGAAATATCTGTCTCTCTGCAAAACCACCTCCCAACAAAGTTATCCTCTGGACAAATGAACAAAATTTTCTGGGGAAAAATTTTAAAGATAGTAAAAGAAACTTCACATTTCTTTATGTGATCGATCAAAGTTACATAATCAAAA